GCAAACACACACTGGGGCACCTGGGTGGCTCAGTCAGTTAAGCATACGACTCCTGATTTTGGCGCATGTCATGATCTCAGGGTCATGAGATCAAGCCTGATGGGCTCTACGCTGGGTGTGGAGTCTACTTAGGATTCTCTCTCTCTCCCTCTGCCCCTTCCCTGCCCCCCTGCACACAATCTCTCTCAAATAATAAATAAATTTTTAAAAAGCAGGCACGCTTTCACAAAATTATCACAGACCATTATAAAACTACATTTTTAACTTATTAGCAAGTAGAGACATATAGTAAAATAAGAGTATATTTATAACAGGGACATTTAATCAGATCAGGGAAACTGAGAAAGCAGTATTTGAGCTAAGATCTATAGGAAGAGAAGTCAAAGACAGGCTAAAAAAGTCTGGACAAAGAAAACAGTACAAAGGTACTGCATCTATACTCACTGTCTCCAGTTCTTCTCCCATACTCTCTTAAATAAAATGACCATCTGACTTTTATACTCTTTACTCCACCAAAACTGCTCTCAAGATCCTCAATGACCTCCATTCTACTAAGTACAGTGGTCAGTTATCAATCCTTATCTCACTTAATTTAGAGCAGCACTTCACATACTTAGTACTCCTTCCTCTTTAACCACTTTCACTTGGCTTTTAGGACACCACACTCTGGGTTTTCCTCTGTGTTCACTGGCTGCTCCTGCATAGTCCCCTTTGCAGATGACTCCAGATCGACCCAAACTCTATGGAGCGCCTCTTTTTGTGACACCAACTATTCTCAGGCTTTAACTGCTATTAAAACACTACTATGAAATCCAATTGTTCTATCTACAGCCAGGTCTTTCATCTCATCTCTATACTCATTTACCCAACTTGCCAACTCCACATTTCTACTTGAATATCTTAGAGACATCTCAAACTTTACATGGCCAAACAAAACTCTTGACTTCCACCTCCCTACCTCCGTACACAAACCTGGAGACTTTCCCACAACATTAAATGGTAATTCCTTACTTTTTATTGTTCGGCCTGAAAACTTTGGAGTCATCTTTGACTCCTATACTCTCACACCTCATATCTAATCTATCAGTAAAACTTGTTGGCTAAACTATCATAATAGATCCAGACTGGGGGCCTCTTCCCACTGCCTCCACTGTTAGCACTCTGGTCCAAGCTACCACTATCATCTCTCACCTGGAGTATTACTTTATTTTATTTTTTTCTTTTTAATTTTATTTTATTAGGTTATGTTAGTCACCATACATTACATCATGAGTTTTTGATGTAGTGTTCCATGATTCATTGTTTGTATATAACACCCAGTGCTCCATGCAGTATGTGCCCTCCTTAATACCCATCACTGGGCTAACCCATCCCCCCTCCAAAACCCTCGGTTTGTTTCTCAGAGTCCATAGTCTCTCGTGGTTCGTCTCCCCCTCTGATTCCCCCCCTTCATTTTTCCCTTCCTACTTTTTTTTTTCTTGGTAACATATAATGTATTTGTTTCAGAGGTACAGGTCTGTGATTCATCAGTCTTACACATTACTTTAGCTTCCTAAGTAGTGTCTCTGCTTCTACACTTGCTTCGCCCTGGTCTATGCTCAACACAATTTCAAAGAAGTAATCATTTTAAAAAGTCAGATCATGCAACTGATCTGCTCCAAGTCCTCCAATGGTTTCCTATTTTAATTAAAAAGTCAAAGTTCTTTCAATCACCTATGTGACTTCCTTTCTCTGTGATCTCATGTTATTCTCCCCTGCACTCACTGAGCTCCAGCCACATTGCTATTTCTTTGCTCCTGCCCACAGGCCTTTGTACTGGCTGTTCTCTTCACAGGAATGTTCTTCCTCCAAGTATCTGTACAACTTATTCCTCCTCCGACTTCAGATCCCCTCAAATGTCCCCTTCTCTGACCACCTTATTTAAAAGTGAACCTTGCCCCCCACAATCTGGCACTTCCTAGTCCCCTTGCTGGTTGGCTCTTATTTTTCTCCACCAAATTTGCCTTTCTTTACCACATATATTACATATTTATTGTCGATCTCCCTTTAATAGATGCAAGCTCTATGACAGTAGGGACTTTTGTACAGTTGACCTTTGAACAACGTGGGGGTTAGGAGTGCCAACTCCCCACCAGGAAGTAAAAAAATCCCACAAATTTTAATCCATATAACTTCTGATGCCTCCCCCCAAACTTAACTATTAAAAGCCTACTGTTGACCAGAAGCCTTATGGATAACATAAATGATTAACACATTAACACATATTCTGTATTCATACTCTATACCATATTCTTACAATAAAGTAAGCTAGAGAAAAGAAAATGTTATTATGAAAGCCATAAGGAAAATAGATTTACACTACTATATTTATCAAAAAAAATGCACATGTAAGTGGACCCCTGCAGTTCAAACCCATGTTGTTCAAGTGTCAATGTATATTGTGCTCAATGACATATGTGATTGTCCCATTACATAGTAGATACTCAACAGATATTTGTTGAGTGTATAAATGGATGAAGGGAATATGAGAACCAGTGACTGAAGAAAGATCTGTATGGCTGACGCAGAGATAGGTGGAGAGTAGTAGGTATATTAAAGTGAGGATGGAGAGGTGGAAAGAGACAAAATGATATTATGCTTAACAAAGAAGTTTTGCCTTAAGAATAGTGAGACAGCAATGAATGATTTTAAGAGAAAAATCTAGTCAGAATTGCATTTCAAAAAGATCATTATGGCTCCAGTGTGGAGAACTAATGGAGAAAGGCCAGAATGAATAATCCCTATTGCGGTAGTCTTGGCAACAGATTATGGCAATTTGGAAAAGACTACGCTTGTGTAGATGGTGGGAAAAGGATGGATTTGGAGGATATTTGGGAGATGAGATTGATAGGACTTGGTAATAATTGGTTAGAGGTATGAAGGACAGGAAGAAATCAATAATGCATAGTTTTCAAATTTTCAGAAGTGGATGGTAGGATCGTTAACTGAAACAGGAAACACTGGTTAAGAATCAGACTCATTAGGGGCGCCTGGGTGGCTCAATTGGTTAAGCAACTGCCTTCAGCTCAGGTCATGATCCTGGAGTCCCGGGATCGAGTTCTGCATCGGGCTCCCTGCTCAGCGGGGAGTCTGCTTCTCCCTCTGACCCTCTTCCCTCTCGTGCTCTCTATCTCTCATTCTCTCTCTCTCAAATAAATAAATAAAATCTTTAAAAAAAAAAAAGAATCAGACTCATTAGATGGGCACCTGGGTGGCTCAGTTGGTAAAGCGACTTGCCTTCAGCTCAGGTCAGGATCCTGGAGTCCCAGGATCGAGTCCCACATCAGGCTCCCTGCTCAGCAGCGAGTCTGCTTCTCCCTCTGACCCTCCCCCCTCTCATGCTCTCTCTCTCTCAAATAAATAAATAATCTTTAAAAAAAAAAAAGAATCAGACTCATTAGAGATAACCATGCATTTGGTTTTAGGCATGTTGAACTTGAGGTGCTTTTGAGACATCAAAAAAGAAATATCAAGGAAATGGATATATGAAAGCTGGAAAGGTAAAGGTGGGTGGAGCTATACATTTAAAAGTCACAGGTGGTAGCGAAACCATGGGTATGGAAGGGATTATATTCAACTATGCAGTAAAAAGGGGACCTAGATTTAATAAACTACCCTACTCTTTGCGCAATGGACAAAAGAGGATGAGCCCAAAAAAGGACAAAAAAGGAATCTTTTTTTAGTTTTTGAAATCATACTCATAAGAAGTTCACATTTTTAAAAAATTCTGATTTAAACCAGTAGCATAGAATGTAGCAAGGCTTTCCAAATTAGACCAATTCATCGAAACTATAAATCTGTTCAAGGACAGGTCACTTTCAAAAACTATCTGGAAAATTCAGGTACTCGTCTCTTCGCAGCTTCAAAGTACATCAATACACAAAAAGTTATCCCTCCCAAAATATAGGTGATTTGGCTTATTTGCAGCACTTCTGGGCCTCACCATATGCTGTTCTTTTAGCTCTCTTTCCCTGGGATGAAGATTTCCCTGCCTTTCCAGCATTAAGCTACTGATCTTCTTTCCAGCCATCCCAGATAGCCAGATATCATATTGTACTGTAATTGTGTGTTTAACCATTAGATTCTATAACTAGATAAGGAATGTGTCTTTTTCACTGTTGTATACTCAGTACCTCACAAGGCTAAATTTTTATCTTTTTTATTTTTTAATTTTATTTTTAAAAGTTTTTATTTAAGTAATCTCTACACCCAACATGGGGGCTGGAACTCACCACCCAGAGATCAAGAGTTGCATGCTCTTCTGACTGAGCCACCCAAGCGCCCCATGGCTCAATTTTTAGAAACACATCTATTCCACAATGTGAAGAATTAAAATCTAATTTGGTTTTCAGTCCACTGACTGCCTTTCACACCTTGACTTTTCTCAAGAGGAATGACTTTTTAAAAACAAATTTTTAAACAAATGAATCTTCCAAATATACTCATTTTGGAGATTTTTATAGGTCTTTTTTCATATAATGTTCTTAAAGCCTGCAAACATTCATATCTAGGAATACTGGGGATTCTTTTCCCCTTAGTCTCATACAAAGTGGATGTGACAACTCGCTTTCAAAGCCCTGCGTGGTATTTCATTTGAGCGCATAAAACACAGAACACCCCTCTTCAATGCCAAACAAAAGTACAATTGCACAGAGATACCTAATCCCTCGCGCGCGAGTCCACCTGAAAGGGCGGAAGCAGAGGCCGCAGAAAATGCACCGGTTTCCACAGCCCGGCCTTTTGCTGCTCCCTAAGACCCTTGGGATCGCAATCACTCCTCGCGCCTTAAGGCGCCCTCGGCCTGGGGCATTCGGACTACTCCTTCCCAGGCAAATTACTGACACTATCCCTGGACTAAGGAGGATAGCTCTAGATAGCCTGGTCTCCAAAATCCCTGAGGAAATGGAAGAAGGAAAAAATCCTGTCAAAGAAAAACTGGCAGCCAAAGCTACAGTGCTCACCAAGTCGACATTATCAACCTCCGTCCGTCCGCTCTAACCGTTGGCTCGAAGGCCGCTACAGGTAACGTCGCAGTGGCTCCTGGGGACTGTAGTTTCTATCGCCAACAGAACGCGTCGGCACATCAAAAAAAAAAAAACCCCTACATTTCCCAGAAGTCAATGCGAGACCGCCCTGCCTTCTTAAATCTCGGATTTGGGGTAATAAAGAGACTGTCACTATTTTCAGGCTAATCTTAAATTTGGACTCAATTTCTTCCAGGTGTGTATTTACGCCCTCTTTCTTTGCCGTGCTTGTCTTGTCTGTAATAGTTTCAGTATACTTCAACTCCTTACTTTTCTCTCCTCTTCTCCAGCCGGGAGAATCGCAAACGTCAGGGGACGACAAACGCCCCCGACGCAAAAATGCCCCTTAGGCGCATGCGCCTTGCTCGCCATCACGCATGCGTAGCAGCCGGCAGCAGTTGGCGGCCGCTCGCGGACTTGGGGTCTGGAGGTAGCCGGCCGGAGGGCGGGGCTTTTTCCAATGGCTTTGCCTCCGCGGGTCGCATCTGCAAGGGCGGGGAAGAGGGCGCTGGGGAAGGGGCGGCTCCTGGTTAATGCCGGGCGGGGAAAGGGGAGGGGCTGGGGGTGAGGACCCCATCTCCCCTCCCTGCTCCCGCCCTCTGGGCCGAGCCCCACCGATGGGGCTGGCCGAAGGGGCGGGCTCTGCGTCTCCGGCCTGGCTTCTCCGCCGGCTCCGCGGCCCAGCCTGGCTTTCGGGGATTGCTGCCCAGCCCTGTGCTCGTCAGGTTTAATGGGCGGTGGGCGAGGACGCAGGTATAGGAAAAGAAGTGGCGTCTGCTCGGGGATCCAGAATTTTCGGGGCCGGAGACACTTTCCTCCAGCGCTGCAGCTGAGAGAGCGGCTGCCAGAAGCTGCCGCCACCAAGGAGTGACTGGGTCTCCAGCCGCGGCAGCCGGTGAGCAAGGGTTTGGCGAGATTTCCCCGCCAGCTCCCGGCTGGCCGCTGAGGGATAGGGAGGAGCTGCAGAGGGCGGAGACTGGTGCCGGAGGAGGGGCGGGGTGGGAATGCTCCTGAGAACACAGTGGCTGCCCAGACCAAAAACGCCGAATGGCTGGAGCGCATTCAACTGTTACCAGCCTTTTTGGGCAGAGCACGGGTTTGACAGCTCCACAACGTGAGGATATCCGCTGACCCCGGGAGGCGGAGGAGAACACTTCCCCGAGACTGCCTTTCCAGCAAAGCCTGCGCTGTAGGGTTCCAACTTTCCAACTTTTTTTAGTCTCTGACAAGAAGACTGCCCCTTCATGTAGGAGAGGGTGAGTTCTGTCTTGCAGATCGGTTGAAAGCCATTAATATAAAAGACACTTCTGGTTCCAGATGTCTCCCAGACATTTATGTTTTCATGACGATTCGATTTCTCCGATTTTATTCTAACATTTCTCGTTTTAAAAATACAAAGTGCTTTTGGGGACATGCTGAAGGGTAACTGAAGACGGCAAAGAAAAAAAATCTCCAGTTGTCATGGCTGAAGGAGAGAATGAAGTGAGATGGGATGGACTGTGCAGTAGAGATTCAACTACTAGAGAGACAGCACTGGAAAACATTAAGCAAACCATTTTGAGAAAAACCGAGTATCTTCGTTCGGTGAAAGAGACGCCTCTTCGTCCATCACACGGGCTTTCAAATGCTGTTTCTTTGGATGGGTTGAATAAACTTCTTGCTCATCTGCTTATGCTTTCTAAGAGATGTCCCTTTAAAGATGTAAGAGAGAAAAGTGAATTTATTTTGAAGAGCGTCCAGGTAAGAAAACATTGTAATTACAACTGTCCATCTAGTATAGTGCAGTTTTACTTGCAGTTATTCACTTTGTATTTGCTGCTAGGTGGTTATGTGAACCCATTACGAATTCTCTACATCTTAAATTTAGAGTGGCTTGTAAAACATTAAATCTGGGGCCAAAACTGTACAAGAGGAACTAAAGTAAAAGCAGTTTTCAAATACAAGTAAACAAGAATCGTCTTTCTAGAGAGTTTTAGCAGAAACTGCATTCCTCGAAGAAAAGTGTGAGAAAGTTACAGTTAATTGCAAGTAAAGACTTGCTTTTTCTTACATTTATTTTTACATGTTTTTAGGAAGTACAGCCAGTATACTTGTCACATTGTTACAAACAATATTCTGTGTGGAAAGTTTCTCATTTAAAAGCCTCTCAAATGATAAAGGATATTAAATGTTTCTTCACTTGTTCAGGATAATTGGTGAAAGTTTTCTCATGTTCTTAAAAGCAAAACAAAAAAATCAGGGTCTGTTCTCTAAAGACAACCTTTCTTTTTTAAAAAAAAAATGAATTACATAAAATAATAAAAGCCTATGTTATAAAGGAGCTAACATCTTCAGATTGAAAAGTTGAACCCAGGTTGAGTGAATGCTAGAAATGCTCATAGTAAATTATTCATTAGTTTTCTCTGTGTTTGCCTCAATTGTTTGATTTTTCTTTTTCACATACATACCTACTTAAGTTTTCAGTGCAACAGTTTAAAAATGTTAGTTTTCCTCCTGTTCTCTACATAATCAATTTCTCCTGTTTTATTGGAAGATTTATTAGGAGGGTTTTGTTTGGGCTTGTTTGTTTAGAGAAAGGTTGTTTTTAGATCCTAAGAATGGTCAGTAACACTATGCTGGTCAGTCTAAATTACTCAATCCATGTGTTCGAGGTCATTTATGGGAAGTTCTTAAAACTTATAGTTTACTTAGGTATATATATGTAAGCTAAGATTAATAGTTTTTCTATTTTGGTTAGTTTAAAGCAACAGAAAAATAATCATGTCCATAAAATGAAGACTGTTCAAAATCTTGGGATATTTCTTCGCACAATAGTTTGGGAACAGTTGTTACAATTCATTTATCCAGAGTTATCCAAGAGGAATTAATTTTCTAGATACCTGAAGTTTACCCTTTTAAGCCTTGAAAGTTATTTCTCTATTTCTTAGACTGTAGTGTCTAGAACAACCATTTTTTTTCCCATAATGGGATCATCATTAGGCACATCAAGTACTATTGTTTAACTGAGGTGGAGTGTATAGGACTGCATGATCCATGTTTTTTGAATTTTTGTGTTCAATTTTTAATAGTTTTTCTGTTCCCTTACTGTCAGTATACTTTGTTCTCTTCCTGAATCTTTAATTTTGCTGCTTATTTATATTCAAATGGGAAAGCAGATAACCAATTTAGTTAAGAATTATATTGAAAACAGAAGTAATTAGGCTCTGGGGAGTGCGGGATCAGAGGACTGTGATATATTGGTAAGTAAATGGGTACTGGAGTCAGACCTGGGCTCAAATTCTCCTCCTTTATTAATGTACTGCATAACCTTGGACAAGTTACTTGATCTATCTGAGTTTGGATTTCCACATCTCTGAAATGGGAATAATAACATAGAGCTGTTGTGAGAATTAAAGGAGATGTAAAGTGCCCCCGTATAAAATGAATGGTCCTCTCCTTTTTCATAAGTGAAAGACATGGGCTATGTGATATATATTTCAGGATTCATTCATCCTGGGAAAAAGTTCAAGAGTCTCCTCCACTGTGAAGATTTTCCATAGATTATACTCTTTTTGCATCTCTGCATCTATTGCACTTAATTCCTGCTACTATTATAACAGGCACTGTACTTATATTGTGCTATCATCACATTTATGTTTGTCCCCTCGGAAGGGCCGTTAAGTTCTCAGGAGTATTGACTGGGACCTGGAAGCTACTAAATATCCAGTGGATGAACAAATTCGTATTTGGTTTCTTTTTATTTCTTATCAGCCTGAATAAAGTCACCAGATTAGGCAGTTTCCATCCCCACATTATTCATGCATGTCTTCAGACAACAAATGTTTATTGAACCCCTGGCGAATGCCGTTCTAAGAACCAGTGGTGAACAATTTTGACATTTTACTGGAGACAGACCATAAAGAAGTAAACAAATAATGTAATTTTAGATAGTAAGGGAAGACTTCCCTGAAGAGATGACATTTAAGCAGAGGTTTGACAAATGAATAGACATAATCCAGACAAAAATGAAATTTGTGAGGGGGACATTCCACACATAGGGAACAGTTGTGTAAAGAGCTCATGGCAAGAGAGAGCAGATGAGTTCTAGGAACGGAAAGTAACACAATGTGGTTGGAGCATATTTTTGAAGGGAGAGTGAAAACTTAAGCACATTCTCTGTCAGATATGGCTCCAATACTTTATTAGCTCTGCAATGTTGAGTAAGTTGCATAATTTCTCCTTGACTCAGTTTCCTCATCTGCAAAATGAAGATGATGGTCACAATGAGAATAAAATGAAACAATGCTTGCAAAGCATAGCACAGTGCAATAGCACATAAGAAATGCTCAGTAATATTAGGAATTCTTACTGTCTTTAGGCAGGAGTTGGGTAACAGAGGATCTTGTAGGCCAAGTTAAGAGTGGTAGACTTTATCCTAGTAACAATTGGAATCCACTGAGGGGTTTTGAGCAAGATGGGGACATGATCCATGGTGTATTTGAAGGATTACTTTGGGACCAATGCAGAGAATGAATTTCAGGGGTCAGGAGTGGATGTGCAACATCAGTTAGGAGGTTATTCCACTAGTCCAAAGCAACAATTATGGTGGAGTAGGATATAGTGGGGAAAAGTGGGAAACAATGTATGGGTTTGGGAGATTGCTAAGAGTTAGAAACCACAGGATATAGTATTGAATTGGATATAGGAGATGAGGAAAATAACAAAAGCAAGGATGCTCTCTGGTTTCTGGCCTGAAGTACTTGGTGAATAGTTCAGCCATTTCCTGAGACAGAATAGTGGTAAAGGATCAGTTTGGGAGGAGTGATGAGTTCTATTTTAGACATGTGGAGATTAAGTTGCCTGTGATACATCTGATTAGAAAAAGCTCCTGAAGGGATTTCTGTCCCTGCTACTATGGTTGTAGTTCTGACATTGTTATCTGTCACTTCTCCAGACTTAACCCATCCTCCACCTTGATATCCATCCTCCACATAACTTGAGAGTCATTTATCTAA